TAGTGGCAAGAAGCTTCTCTGCAATCCCAAAGGTGCGCAGTTTGAATCCACCAGCTGCTCCGTGGGAGAAGGATGGGAGTCGTCCTGTGGGATTAACCACCTCTGAAAACCCACTGAAGGGGCAACTGTGGATCGATTCCGACTGGACGGCATACACCACCGGCCACCACCTTTGGATTGGCCTCACGGCTCCTTACCACCCAGCTCCAGAGCTCCCTCTACAGCTGCCCGGCTCCGGGCCCCGTGTAAGAGCAGCAGCCCCCAAGAACAGCCGACTCCAGAGGAGTCTGACTCATGGTTCAGCAAGACTGCATTGTACAACTTCTCTCTTGAAAAGCAACCTCTTGGGGAAGTGGGGGGGGGGGGGATCCAGTGTGAAGAGCAATGTATATACGAACTTTGCAGGTAAACCAGTGTACAATTCAAAAGAAAAAAAAGAATTGCAAGAAATTAAAAAAGCAACTCCTTACCCACTAGGCCACCAGAGGGCGTCCAAAGCCCCTTTATTCTTACTCTGCTGTGTTTGCCTATTGACAGTTGCTGCTAGGACTGGCAATAGTGGTTTTTTGGCTTTGTTGTTGTTTTTTTCTTGTGTCATTCTTATTTTTATTTTATTACTAGTTTACTTACAAAATTAAAATACAAATTTGAACAAATTGTTTCCATTTCCCTTACCACCACACCCATCAAATTGTACAACCCAATGATTAATCCCCTCTTCCCATGTACATCCACATCCCTCTGCTTCCAGCCTCTCCCACCCTCCTGGACCCTTATACTCATTCTACAATAATGGTTTTATACAATATTGATCCTTGTGGGACTGGGTGAGTTCACTCAGCATAATGCTCTCCAGTCCCTCCCTAGTTAGGTAATAATTTACAAAGTTATCGCTCCTGTGTGCTGCATAGTATTCCATTGTGTGAATGTACCATAATTTCTCAATACATTTGTTTGTGGTTGGACATCTGGGCTGTTTCCATGTTCTTGTGATGGTGAATAATGCTGCTATGAATATTGGTGTATAAATCTCAGTTTGTGCCTCAGTTCTCATATTCTCAGGGTATATTCCAAGGAGTGGAATCGCTGGGTTATATGGAAATTCTATGTTCAGCTTTCTGAGGAAGCTTGGCAATAGTGTTGAAAGCACTTAATAGCATTTCTTCTATGCTAACATTGGGGGAGGTCACTTCCTAGGTGGTCAGGTGGTCGCACGTCTCCTGCCTTCCCGAGGACACTCCTGTCCCTTCCTGCTACCTCCCTCCTCCCTGGAAGCCTGCAGCAGGTGCGTCCACCCCTCCCTGGAAGTAGAAGTCCCAGCCTTGGGGTCTCCCCCAGCACCATGCCCACTGCCCTCACCCACCTCCCTGAGGTTCTGCCTGTCATCAAGCCCAGCGACTATGCTAGGCAAGGGCAGCTTCTGCCAACCGGTCATTCCTTCACCAGACACACAGCACGGCATCGTCCGCTAACGTGGCCTGTCCATGTACCACGTCTGACCAAACGTTAGCTTGCTAGAAGGCTGCGGAGAAAGGTGTGTGGTTTCCCACGTTAACAACAGATTTGGCCAGCTGGGTTCCTGACACGCCCTCTGTTACTTCAGGCAAGTTTCTTGTTCTCTCTGAGCCTTATTCTCTATATTTAAATGAGAATATCATGCTACCTATTGGCTTGTGGGAATTTCAGAAACGGAGCTACCTGGCAGCTGTGTCGTACCTCTTTGTCACGTATTGTTGCCATGTACCGTCAAGTCAGAACTGACTCACAGCTGACCGTCCAGTGGGTTTTCAGAGACAGTGTATTGCATGGGAGGAAATTGCCTTTCTTTCTCCTGTGGAGTAGCTAGTGGATTCGAACTGTGTACCTTTGGGTTGACAGTGCAACTCCTTACGCCGAAGCCCCTAGAGCTGCCTGCTGAGTCAATGCCTCATGGCATCAGCCTCTCCACGTTTGCATGTTAAATCCGATGTCCAGTGAGCAGAAATAATTTAGTCAACACGCAGAAGGCTATGTGGTCAGTGCATTTGAGGGCAGAACGAGGTTCTCCCAGCCCTGGCCTCTCGGCAGCCTTAGTGCTGTGGCTTGGCTTCAGCGGGGAGGGGTGAGCAGTGTCTGTCTGTCTGTATTGTGTTGCTGTGACAAGGACATATCACCTGTAAAACTCACCATCATCTTACTGTGATTGAAGAACAACAGAGGTTGACTATGGGACGTCATAGATGGCAGTGGAGTGAGGCCATTGGGAGGATTTCATTTCGTCATCTGCCTAGTGGATGTCTGCCCCGGTTCCCTTCCCACCTTAGTATATGCTGCATGGTTCCCACATGTCCTCTTCCCTCCATGTGTACAGTTCATTCCGTTCCGTGGAGGAGAGACGTAGTGGTCCTCCATACTTTCTCCAGCGTTGAAAGCATTGTACATGTGCTCACTGTATCACTGTCTTTCCCATCACTGTCACAGGCAGGCCACTCACAGACACACAGGTGTGACCAGGTGCAGGCAGAACGGCCAGAGCCAGGGCCCCCTCTGTTTGAATGCATGGGTGGGAGCACCTGGCCCCGGAGGCGTTCCTTGAGCCTGAAGAAAGCGGAGCTGACATCCAGGTCGGGGAGTCAGGGAGCTTCCCGGGGAACTTCCCAGAACAGGGCCATCTGAACTGGATCTGGAGGGATGGGTGGAAGGCTGGCTGAGAATTCCAGCCTCTGACAGAGTCACCGTCCAGAAAACGCAGCCTGACCCTGAGTGAAGGCTGTTCTCTGTGCCCTGGGGAGTCGGCTCCCTAAGTACCAACTTGGTGTGTAACTAAAGGGTCTTAGAAGGGCACCTAGGAGGTGTGAGTTGGTGCCAGCCCTCTACGTGATGATGATGACACCGTGGCATTCTGTTCTGGCTCCCATACACGGTGTGGGCACGAGTCAGATGACCCAGAGGTTAATCAGGAGCCCCTACGTGGCCTTGGCTCCATCCTGAATGAACCGGTTTCATTCACTTACTGATGCTGGAGCCTCTTAACGGGGACTCCGAGCCCTAAATTAGGCTACGTAGCTCCCTCCTCAGAGCCACCACACACGGCTGCTCTCAGCCGCCCAAAAACGTCCCTTTTTCTGAGCCAGCACTGACTGTTCATTGGCAAAGAATTAATTTGTTTAAGATTTGCGTTACATAAAATAATACTTGAAACTGTGACACTGAGTTTCCAAACGGTCCATATCTTTTTCCACAACAGGCCAGAAACTCAAGTCCACTAAAAATAACGCAAAACCAAAAGTTATTGTTAGAGGAGTTTTTGAAATAAATGAATTATATTAATGTTTCTGTGAACCTTTACTCTTATTGTCAGGGGATTTTTTGAAATAAATGAGTTATGTTGATATTTCTGTGAACCTTTACTCTCTTTCTTCTTTCTGCTGTGACTCCGTTGTTATGTTGTTAGGGTGTCAAGTCGACTTTTACTTTTAGTGACCCTAAACACAATCACACAAATCCCTGTCTGAGTGGTCCTTACAGTATCCACTGGGCTCGAGCCACGGTGCCCCTCCATCGGAGGGGGGGGGGAGGGTCTCCTTTTTCACTGAGCCTTTACTTTGCCAAGCACAGTGTCCTTCTCCAGGGATTAATGTCAGTTTAACAGTGGAGAGAGGATTACAGTCATAATTAATTTGTAACAGAGAAACCAAATTGTCTGTGGATTTCCACCTCTCTAATTAGCCTCATGTGTAAGATAAAACATCACTCACCCAAAACTTTGAAAAGTTTTTTAAAAGTATACTATTTCCATAAGAAAAGCTCGACTACTGCTGCTGCATCTTTGAAAGTTCCTGCCTCGCGTCGTCCCCTGCCTCCTGACTTTGTAATTGTCCCTGGGAGAATTCACCACTGTGTGATTTCCAGCTTCTTCTCCCCAGCCTCATTACCACAAGGTTAGAGACATGACATTGTGTGACAGTGCCTCCTTCAGATCAGAGACTTCCTGTCCCCTCTCTTTGGAAGAGTGCAGAGTCGTGCCTTTGACATAGCACAGGACAAAACTAATTTAGCACCAGAAGATGGCTTTATGCTTCTGTCCCTTCAGAACAGTACCAGTGAGGGCTGATCACAGCTTCCCTTCTGGGACAGAACACCCCCACCAAAGCCAGGCCAATCCTAGTCTTCATTTGTTGTTTTGAAACAGGAAAAACCATTGTTTTGTTTTTTTTTTTCATTTTTATTATTAATTTTAATGAAAATTTACAGAGACTTTAGATTTCCATTCACTCATTGTTGCACTTTTCTCCCTGCCCACCCCTCCCCTCCAGTTCGTTCTTCTCTTTGAAAAGTAAAAGAAAAATTCTTTCATTGTTTTACAATCCCTCCCCCCAAGTCCACTCCACTATGCAGCCTTCGTTCTGGGCTCCTGTCATAATAATACCTAATCATATATCCCTTTTAAATAGTTTTCTCTCTCATCAGTTTCAATGCATTGCATTATTTTTATAGTTAGAATGCCTTAATTTTTTTTAAAAAGTCAGTAAGGCTAAAGGGAGTAATGGAAATAAGTTATTTCATCTTTATATCAGAAAATTTAGGTCAAAGAAAATATTTTGAAACATTTCCACACCATTCTCGTTTCCTCCTGTCTTGACTCCTGTTTTCTAACACAAGGACATGAGGCCTGGGCCAGGTCTTCCTAACACCTCGGAAAATGAACTAAGTTTGCTTCTGTAATTCCTGATTTTGTTTCAAGCCCCCCCCCCTTCCCTTCTGTTCCTCCATTAAAAGAGTAAGCTGAACACTTGGTGTGACTGGAAATGTGTACAGATTTGTGGAGCCCAGAGGAGCCAGCGTTTTCCCCTCATATACTGACTAACTCCTTAGGTGGAGTTCAGGAAGTGAGTGATTCCCGGGGAACTTGATGGGTAGGAGCCCCACCCCTCACCCACATAACGGCCAGTGACAGCAGGGACAGGGTGCTGGGGTGATGTGCCTCAGTGGACATATGCCTGTGCTCTCTCTCCCGACAGGCAGGGCAGCTTCCCCAGCATGAATCAGAGCGGGCTCATGGCCTCCAGCAACCCCTACAGCCAGCCGATGACCAACAGCTCGGGCCTGATGAACACCCAGACCCCGCCCTACAGCATGGCACCCAACATGGTCAACAGCTCCACAGGTAACGGGGCCCCTCCCTGTCCCCTCTCCCCACAACTCAAAGGACCGGACCCTTGGATGAAAGAGAGGTTTCTGCGCCTTGGAACCTGGTTTAATCTAGTTAGCTGTTGAAAGGCCCCAGGATAACATGACCTTTTCCAGAACTTCTTTTTACTCATTCTGGGTCGTTGCGTTACACAGACATATTTCAAGTTTCATGGGAGAGTCTAAGCAGACATATGTCCTTGAGGGCTATTAAGAGATTCAAGACAGGGAGCTCTGGTGGCCTAGTGGCAAGGAACTGCAACTACAATCCCAGAGCACACCGTTCGAATCCATCAGATGCTCTGCCGGGGAAGGAGGGACAATCTCCTCCTGTACCAGTCAGATCCGATTTGACGGTACACACACACAAAACCAAATAAAAAAATAAAAAAAAAAAAAGAGAGATCCAAGACAGAATCCGCCTGGGTCTTTTTTTAACAGTGGTGGAGGTGACTTCAGAGAAAATGACTGAAGGGCAGAATAGGGCCGAGTTGCAGTGTCTTGCTGGTTCATCTAGAGGAGCAAAAGGACCGAAGTGTGAACACAGTGGAAGATTTTCGTCAAGGAAATGTCTCGTGCCGATGTTGAGCCCCAGATTCCAGGACCAGACATCAGGCTGGAGGCTTCTCTTAACTCAGGTAGTTCTGGAGGCCGACGGATCCCAGACCCACGGGACTGTCAGCAGGCCTCTGGCTTATGTCCCAGGAACCAAAACTCGGAGAATGCTGACGTGAACGCAGGATCCGGAGAGGCAGGGCTTTGCCAGAGCAGCCACGTGTATTGGATGCAGGTCACATTCCCAGGGAAACTTCCCTTCCAGCTGATTGGCTGTTCACATCACATCCCAAAATGACTGTAATTACATCATCATGTGTGCCGTACCACGGAGGGTCATAACCCAGCCAAGTGGACACGTAACACTGACCATCACGGCAACCGTAGAGTCCCTCCCATTTAGGAAAAAGACCTTTGAATTGAGTTGAGTTAGTCGATTCAAAGTACTAGTCAGTACTTTTCTATTGAAAAACTATATGGAATTCCCCCCCCCATGAACTGTTTTAAGTGTTTTCTTTCATTTTCTTTAGTTCTTCCAACCCACTTTGTCATTTGAAAATATTTTCTGCAAAATTGCATCTGGTGCAATAAAGGTTTTCTCCCAGCATCTGAAACCATGCAGATGGATGAGTTAACCTCAAGTGACCTCTCTACCTGAAGACAAGCAGTACTTTTTAAATGAAAAAGTGCTGTATATTTCAGTTACTTAACGTAGCACAGTAGGTCAGTAGGTGCCCTTCTGGATAGGAGCCTAACCTAGTTATGTCTGAGTTTACTTAGCCAGTTGGGTAACCTGCACCACATCGTGAGACGCTAGAAAAATACTGTGGCGCTAAAGATCTAGTTCTTTCTTGTTACCGTTTTCATTTCTTACCTTCTGGTGCCTTTCTAGCCTCTTCACATCAAAGGCTACTCTCACAGGTCTTCCTGCATCAGGCCAAAGACACATTGATTGATGGCCAACTTGCACAAGGCTTCAAACGGATTTTTTTTTTCTGGTTCTGTCATGGCCAATAGAAGCAAAATCAGAACAGACGCAAATTTGCAAAATATGAGTGTACCAGAACAGAAGATCAGGGAAGAAATGACAGGTCCTAGCCCTGCCGTAAATGGAATCTCTCTTTTTTTTTTTTTTAATGTGTATTGTCATATCTGATCTGATTGATACAGGAGGAGATTGTCCCTCCATCTCTAGCAGAGCATCTGGTGGATTCAAACTGCATACCTCTGGGATTGCAGTGCAGCTTCTTGCCACTAGGCCACCAGAGCTCCCTGGAATCTCTTTTTACAAAACAGCAGTGTGCATGTCACACAGCAGCCAGACCTCTTGAGACACAGAGTCATCAACAGCGGTGCCCAGCTCAAAGAGGGCAGCTCTCACAGTCCTGACTGTAATCCAGTCCGGATCAGGCACCCTCCTGCAGGTCTCCCATCGCAGGACGTAAGCCTGTACCTTTTCAAATTCCACTTAATCCTTCTAACACACCCACACTTTCCAAATTCAGCTCTGTCCAGTAAAACTGAACCAGTTAAAAGTGGTTTGAACCCCTGAGTTTATGTCCAATCGACTGAACTTCGCTTCTGGGGTTCCAGTCTAGTAGAAGATCCCGTGTTTCTGTCTCTTTAGAGGTTTATGAATGAGACAAAGTACGAGCTGCGGTGAAAGGGAAGATTTTTAAATAAAAGCCCTGGTCTTGAGGGCACTCTCCGCTTGATGTGGATATTTTGCTTTTAAGAAGAAACACAGAAACTTTTCAGCAGTCTGGGAGCTTCCTACCCTTACCCCGACTGCAGCCAGCCTTCCAGGTAGTAGCATGTTTGGGTTGTAACACAGTATGTTTTGTGTGGCCTGGTGAGATCAGATTACTGGAGAGCTCTGAAACCACACCACTTTATTTTTCACCTCCTCTTCACAGTCCCCCTTTTACTGCTGGACCCCAGAGTTGCAGAAATAACCTGCAACAAGCAGATGGCACCGTGCTCTGCCTGGGAAGATTTCTTTTTTCCGAAGGAATAACCAATTTAATAGATATGCACAGAGCGGGATTTTATTATTAGTATTATTATTGTTATTATTCAGATAATTCAGCTATTCTTTGTTGCATAGAGAAGAAATCTGTTCAGAGAAAAGCCATTTACCCTCCCAGTTATTTGTATGGAATCATTATATTTTTTTACTGCATTGTGCATTTTGAAATAGTGACATTTTCATAATTTCAGTATTTATCAAGTTGTCCTGTACACACTTAGATGATTTTATTCTGCCTTTATTAACGCAGATGCTACCGAATAGAAAGTCGTCATCAAGAGCAGCCAAGGCATAGTGACAGTGTGTCAGTGAGAACCGTCCAGCCACAGGGCCACGTGGACACTGCCTAGGAGTGGTGACGTCATAGTGACAGTGTCATTAACAGAGTCATCTAACCACAGGGCCACGTGGACACTGCCTAGGACTGGTGACGTCATGGTGACAGTGTCATTAACAGTCCAGCCACGGGGCCATGTGGACACTGCCTAGGAGTGGGGATGTCACAGCAGCTATGGTGCCATCTGTCCGTGTGTCCGTGTGGACACCACCATATAGTGGTGACATCATGGCATGTATAGTGCTGTTACATGGATGGGCCGTCCTGGATCCTGCCATGGACGTGGTGACCAGGTAGCATTTACAGAAGTACCGCTCTGTAGTTGGCCCCCTGTGGGCCCTGCCGTAGCTGTGACGTCCATTTCTGAAGGAGACCAGCATGGGTGAGGGACCAGGGGGGTGGCAGTGGAGCGCCTGGTGAGAGGTTTGTTGTGGAGACACCCTGTGACCAGGCAAGGGGAAGTGCAGTCCACCCACAGTCTCCACAAGCTGGGTCCTGGAGCCAGACGAACGGGGACACTAGCCGAACCCACAGGGACACCAGCCGAACCCACGGGGGCACCAGCCGAACCCACGGGGGCACCAGCCGAACCCATTCGCCATCGCCGGGCACTGGGGAAGGACGTGTCGGTGGTGCTCGAGCTGGCCAGGGCCGGCTCCAAGACTGAATCTCAGTTGGCATCCTAAGGCGGGTGTTCCCTGCGTCTGTCTGCTGAGGGCCGACACGGCTGTCGTACATGCCGTGCAAGCCCTGAACCCCTCCTATGTGGTGGCAAATTGTTACAAGCTTCAGGGAGTAAGTAATTATTTAAACGGTGCATGTGAGCATGCATGCGACCACTGTTTCTTTTCGTAAAATGCCAGGTGTGGGAGGATGGTGGCCGTGGAACATTTTTTTTTTTTTTACCTCTAGAGGAATCTGTTGTTATTTTTTAAGCTGCCTGGGCTGAGAGGTTAGAATCATTTCCTGCTGTGGACGGCGTGACAGCCTGAAGCGCTTGCTGCAGAAGGTGAAGGCCTGCAGCCTTAGATACGGATTGAAGCTCAGCATCAAGAAAACAAAGATTCTCACCACTGGACCAGTTGGCAGCATCATGATAAACCGTGAAGAGATTGCATCGGTTTACTTGGCTCCACAATCAACAAACACTCTTGCTCCAAGCAGCCAGGAAATCAAAAGACGAGTTGCACTGGGGAAACCTGCTGTCAGGGACCTCTCCAGAGTACTGCAGGGCAGTGATGTCAGTCTGGAAAATAAGGCGTGCCTGATCCAGGTCACAGTCTTTACAATTATTTGCTATGTATTCGTCTGAAAGCTGGACAGTGACTAGGGAGGATAGAAGGAGAATTGATGCTTTTGAGCTGTGGTGCTGGAGAAGAGTATTGAATATACCATGGACTGCTAGGAGAACAAACAGGTTCATCCTGGAGAGGGTGAAACCAGGCTGCTCCTTAGAGACAAGGATTCTGGGGCTTCGTCTGACACACTTTGGGCATGTTGCAAGGAGGGACCAGTCCTTGGAGAGGGACATCATGCTTGGGAGGGTGGAGGGACAGCGCAGGAGAGGAAGACCTTCGATGATATGGATCAGATCAGTGACTGGAGTAATGGGGGTAGGCGTGTCAGAGACTGGAAGGTTGGCACAGTATAGAGCAGGTTCAGAGCTGTTGTACAAAGGGTCACTGTGAGTCGCAAGCGAGTCGTTGGCTCATAACAACAAGAAAGCACTTGTTTACACAGTGTTTGTGCCATTAGTTGTGTTGTGTCCATGTCTTTTAAGCCCAGGAGGGACCATGAGGGCAAGGCAGGACCCGCCAGCAGCATGATTCATTTCACAGTATCTATTTGCTATATGATTGTTTGCATCTAAATTATCTTCTTAAAATAGAAGTTTTCATTCCAAAAAGCATATCCATTCTCTCGGGGTTCCCAGATCTACGGTCAGCAGATGTCATTGTACAAAACATGGTCATTTCCCAACGTCTTAGGTGCAAATAGGGAGCTTTGGTGGCTTAAGAAGCGGCCCTACAATCCCAAAGGTACACGGTTCAAACCC